TTTCTCTTCAGTGCTGTTAGAGTTTGTTTCATATGTTTTGGAGCCCTGTCGTTGAGTAGGTAAATATTTATTATAGTTATATTGTCCTGATGTATTGACTCTTTAGTCATTATTGACCCTTCCTTATCCTTTGTGTTGGATTTTACTTTAAAGTATATTTTGTCAGAAATTAATTTTGCCACTCCTGCTCTTTTTTGAGTGTTGTTTGCTTGATATATTTTTTCCTATCCTTTGAGTTTTAGTTTCTTTGTGTGTTTAAGTCTAAGGTGTGTCTCTTGTAGGCAGCATATAGATTGATCGTGGTTTTTTAATTCATTCTGCCACTCTCTCTTTATTGGTGCATTTAGTCCATTTACATTCAGTGTAATTATTGATAGGTATGATTTTAGTGCTGTCAGTTTGATGTCTTTTTTTGTGTGTTGTTGACAGTTTCTTTGTTCCACTTAATTTTCTGTGCTGAGTCGTTTTTCTTTATGTATTTTCTTTCCATGTTTTTCATTGTTGTTGATTTTGTATTTGTTGAGTCTTTATATTTTTTTATTTTTTATTTTAACGAGTAGGATTGTTAGTTTGCTTTGTGGTTACCTTAATATTGACCGCTATTTTTCTAAGTTTAAAGCAGTCTTTTATTTGTTTATATTGCTTTGACTTGCTGGCCATATGAAAAATCTATGACTACATTTTGTAGACCCTCTTTTTTGTTTTAATGTTGTCATCTTTTACATATTGATTTCTCTGTTTCCCTGTTTTCAGTGTTTTAGCTTTTAATTTATTTTTGTGACTTCCTTATCTGGGTTGATATCTGGTTGCTCTGTCATGTATTCTAGTCTTGGGGTGTTATCTGATGTTATTGATTTTCTAACCGGAGGACTTCCTTTAGTATTTCTTGTAATTTTGGTTTGGTTTTTGCAAATTCTCTAAACTTCATTTTGTCTGGAAATGTCCTAATTTCACCATCATAGTTGAGAGACAGTTTTGCTGGATATATAATTCTTGGCTGACAGTTTTTTTTCTTCAAGGCGTTATATATGTCATCCCATTGCCTTGTTGTCTGCATGGTTTCTGCTGAGTAGTCCGAGCTTCATATTGACTCTCCTTTGTAGATGACTTTTCGTTTATCTCTAGCCACTTTTAAAATTCTCTCTGTATCTTCGGTTTTATTAAGTTTGATTATAATATGTCTTGGTGACTTTCTTCTGTGATCTACCTTATGTGGGGTTTGATGAGCATCTTGGGTAAATATCTTGTCATCTTTCACGATATCAGGGAAGTTTTCTGCCAACAAATCTTCAACAATTCTCTCTATATTTTCTGTTATCCACCCCCATTCTGATACTCCAATCACTTGTAGATTATTCCTCTTGATAGAGTCCCATATAATTCTTAGGTTTTCTTCACTGTTTAAAATTCTTTTATCTGATTTTTCCTCAAATATGTTGGTGTCAAGTGCTTTACCTTCAATCTCACTAATTCTGACTTCCATTGCCTCAGTTCTGCTCCAGTGACTTTCTATTGAGTTGTCTTTTTCTGACATTTTATTGTTAATTTTTGGATTTCTGATTGCTGTCTGTCTGTGGATTCTTGCAGCCTATTAAGTTTGTCATTATGCTGTTGAATAGTCTTAAGTTCCTCTATTGCTTTGTCTGTGTGTTCCTTGGTTTGTTTTGTGTTTTGCCTGATCTCCTTCCTGATCTCTTGTGTTCTGTATTTTGTATTGTGCTTCCAGTAATTCCAAGAAATTACCTTCTTCCGGAAAATTTCTTGATTCTTTATTTTGGGGGCTTGCTGAAGCCGTCACGGTCTGCCTTTTTATGTGATTTGATATTGACTGTTATCTTTGAGTCATCAATGAGTTATTGTGTTCATTTATTTTATGTTTGCTTACTCTGTTCTAGCTTCTTGTTTTGTTTTGATATGCCCAGATAGGCTGCTTGTGTAAGCTAGTTTGATTATTGGTGCTTTTGAAGCTGTAACGTCTCGTCACCAGGTGGTCAGATCTTTTACTAGGTATGTGAGCTCAGGAGTCTGTTTACCTTTCTTGTATGGCTTCAGCTCAGATGTCCAGATAGTCGGTCACCAAGTGTGTGGTGCAGGCTCTCACCTACAGTCCGAGGCTAGCATGGGTGATTCGTGTAGGCACAGATATCTGTCTGTAGTAAGGGGTCACACGCTGAGCAAGGCAAGGCGCTGATGGCTGCTCCTGAGTGTCTGGGAGGAAAGTGTGTCCCTGTTCCCTAGAGCGCATAGGTGGGTCGGTTTTTCAGCTGGACTATGAGCACTCACTGCTTTTGGCTGTAAGGACTGGGAGGCACCACTTATTGTTGGACCCCTGTTGTGGGTGGCTTGGTGGCGTGGGTGGAGCCAACAGTCCTCAGGCCCCTGATGTGGGTTGGTGAGGACCCTGCTTAATGGGCAGAGCAGTGTCAAATACCACGAACCTGCCATTTCACCCCATAGCTGACACAGTTGAAGTTAAGCTTCAAGTATATACCCTGTTGTACCATGATAACGAGGGCCTACGCTGTTGAAATGCACCCACGCAGGGGTGAAAGGCATTCAAAGTCCGTGGACCCTTTATGCCTGTGCCTAGGCAAAGAAGCTCTGCCTATCCCAAGTTCCTGGCATAGGGGAGCCAGTAGATTATTGTTTCCTGTTTGTTAATTTATTCACTCTCCAAGGCTGGGAGAATGGCTCAGGGTGCATGACGTGTCCTACTTCTAACCCAGAGGACTCAGCAATTGCTAAAGCAGGCTCGGGATCCAGTGCAGAGCAGGGATGGGGGTAGGTAAATGAGAGAGAGGTTTTTCCCAAGGGGGATATTTTTGATCTGTTCGGTAAGCCAGATGCAAGTACTTACCTTTTACCGACTGAGCACTGCTTTTCCTTGTTTCTGTATGCCCAAGTAGATTCTCTGCTACTGGGTCTCTCCTGATGTTGAAAACGCCTCCTGAGTGCCACTGCTTTCCTCACCACGCATGCGAGCTGATCCAGCCTCAGGGGTGCCGGCTCCTGCTGGGTCAGGTCTGGCAACTCCTCGCTGCTTCCAAATCATCTCTCCCACCCCCTGCCACTCAGTCCAGTTTCTCAACTTTGCCTTTGATGTTCAGGGCTCCTAGATTGTCACATATAATTGATTCACTTGTTTTTTCGGGTCTTTGTTGTAAGGGGGACCACAGGAAGCATCTGACTACTCTGCCATCTTGGCCCCACCTCTGGATTTGTTTTGAATTCTCCAAGCTTAGATCCTGTGAGCAAGCAGAACATAAGCGCTGTCACACATGAATTACCCATGAATTACTCAAATTTTATCTCAACCCAGGCTTCTGTGAGTTGTAGACTGATACTACCATACCATGCCAGTTGCCATGGAGTCGATTCCAACTCATGGAGACCCCGTGTGTGTCAGAGTAAAATTGTGCTCCGTGGGGTTTTCAGTGGCTGATTTTTCAGAAGTAGATTGCCAAGCCTTTCTTCGGAGAGACTGCTGGGTTGACCTGAACTTCCAGTCTTTCTGTTATCAGCTGAGTACGTTAATCAAACGTTTGCACCACTCAGGCACTCTGTAGACTCATAAAGCTAACTGCTTTCTTGGTATCTCCCAAAAAACAAACCGATTGCCATTGAGTCAATTCCAATTCATAGTGACCCTGTAGGACAGAATAGAGCTGCCTCATAGGGTTTCCGAGGCTGTAACCTTTACAGAAGCAGGCTATTATATCTTTCTCCTGTGAAGCAGCTGATGGATTCGAACCACTAACCTTTTGGTTAGCAGCTGAGCACTTAACCACTGCACTGCCAGGACTCCTAGATAATTCAAAGGCACTTAAAATTCAACATGGTCAAAACGGACTTCATGGTCTTCTACCAAACAAAAACAGTTTCTTTTTCAGTGTTTCCCTATCTATCTACGCAAGCCAGGAAGCTAGCATTTATCCTTGATACTTCCAAAACTTCTGTTCCCTCATACCAGGTGCCCCCTCATCATTGATTACTGTTGGTTTTACCTCCTAATTGACCCGAATCTATTCACTTCACTATGTCTCTACTGTCACCAACCTAGCCATTTCCCGCCCGGAGCACTGGATTACCTTTCTCATTGGTTCATTCTCATTCATTCTTGACTCCCTCCAGTCAGTTTTCTGCAGTGTAGTCAAAGTGATCTCACCAATATGCAGATTTAATAATTTCCCTCTGGAAATAAAGTCAGTGGCTTTTATGACAAAGTCCAAAACCCTCCACATGCCTTTCGAATTATGTGGTTACTATCTAATCTCCAGCTTCATTTCTTACTGGACTTCTTGCTATCAGCAATCCAATATGCTTACCAGACTTTTTCTTATAAGTAGATCTTTATAGATGCTTTTCTTGCTGTTTTCAACAAATTTCCCTCTATTAATCTAACTTTGACTACATAAGTCTTCATCTCTCAAGTAGCAGCTCTGTTATCACTTACTTAGAAACCCCTTTTATATGCTCTCTTAGCACTATTCCTTCTTAGCACTTGTCCTGGTTGTAATTTTCATTTTCCTCTTCACTTGATGTTCAGTGAGGACAGTTGTTGCTGCTTTTGTCTACCATTATGTATTGCACACCTAGTCATCTGTATAGGAGCCTTGGTGACACAGTAGTTAAGAGCTCGGCTGCTAACCAAAAGATAGGCAGTTTGAATCCAACAGCTGCTCCTTGGAAACCCTGTGGGGCTTTTCTGTGCTGTCCTGTAGGGTTGCTATGAGTCGGAATCAGCTTGATGGCAGTAGGTCAGTACTCCATAAATATTAATTGAATGACTATATGGATCTACTTACATGAGCTGGTTATATTTAAGGTTTCTATTAAGTAACTGGTTAGGCATGAATTTCACTGAATTTGTATTTTCCTTTACTCTTTTTTATAACATTTTTTACTGGATTTGATGTCAAAATAATTTTTACTCAGTTTAATCCAATGATTACAGTTTCTTGATTTCTCTCTCCCTGCAATGGTTCCACTCATAATGACAGGAGATGGTTATGAAAATTCAACAGGAGGTAAAATGTTTGATGAAGATTCTCTGGAGGAACATTCAGAAAATGCTAGTGAAATGGAGGATGATGAGGAATCTGAAGATGAAATTACAGGAGTGGGTAGAGCTTCAGATGATGATGATGATGATCATGAAAGTGAAGGTGATGAAGATGAGGAGGATAAAGATGAGGATGGTGAAGATGATGAAAGTGACAGTGGCCCTGATCTTGCTAGGGGTAAAGGAAATATAGAAACTAGTTCTGAAGATGAGGAAGATGAAGATTTTCTTCCAGAGGAATCTGGTTTTGAGCATGCTTGGAGAGAATTAGATAAAGATGCTCCTCAGACTAATGAGGTAACCTTTTGAATAAATAAGATTATTTGTGAAGAAAATAGTGCAAGTAGCTTTTATGAGTAGTAGGGTTACTGTCATTAAATTACGTGAGAAAAACATTGCTGCTAAATAATACTCTCGATAATTATTATGATTAAAATTTCTTGCTTTGGAATATATTTATATAAATTAGAAGCTGTCCAAGCAGATAAGGAGAAAGTTCTACATAAGTAAATAAAAATCACAAGCAATTTTTAGAAAATACTTGTTTTAGGTGGTAGTTTATATTTCTGTTCCTACCACACCTACTAGAAATGCTGCATGGTAACATACTCACTTTGCCTACTCACGCATGCTCGGCAGAATGGCTTAACAGACTGGATAGTTAAAAAGCAGCTCATGATCATGTCCTGATTCAAGGACTGAAAACCAGAGTAAGAAAGTGCTTATCTGTTGATGGTTTTACTGTTGTTTGACTCTTTTGAAGTTCTCTTTTACATATTGAAATCACTCAGACAACTACTATATTAATAATTTCAGTGTTGGGATAAAGACATTCCATTTTTAGTATCTTTGTTAAGCAGTGGCTATGATATAGACTGTAATATTTCTCTCATTTTATAGATTACACGTCGATTAGCAGTTTGCAACATGGACTGGGATAGATTAAAGGCAAAAGATTTGCTGGCTCTGTTCAATTCATTTAAACCTAAAGGAGGTGTTATATTTTCTGTAAAGGTAAGAATTAATTGCATTTTAGACTAAGTATTTCTAAGTATTTTAAGTTAAATCTAATGTTTTTTAAGCTGTAAGTTTTCCTTTCATGAAAACAATCAATCTGGAAATTATCCAATACAACTAGGCATGAAACAGGTGTAAATATTGGAAAGAAAGAGACAGTGTTATTAGTATTAATCCAAAGAAATCAATTGAAAAACTACTATAATATAAGCTCAGTAAAGGGTGGGATGTAGGATAAATAGTATTTTTTTTAAAAAAAGCATTCCTTGTTACCAGCATTAGCCAATTAAGAAAAAAGTCCTATTTTTACTAGTAACAAAACATGTGAAATCTTTAGGAATTACCTTAATAAACATATGTGACCTATAGGAAATAAACTATAACTCTTGATAAATTTGAGAAATTTAAAATTTTGAGACATAACCTTATTTCTAGAGAGCCAGCAGGTACAGTCATGCACTACGCAATGTCCGTTAGGGCAACGTCCAACTGCATATACATCCGGGGTCTCATAAGAAGGTGAAAGCAGCTCTCCTTTTGTTTGTTATTTCCCCCTAATGGTTTTAAAGACCCCAAACCCCCAGAGAGAATGACCAGTGGGACTCCAGGGTGCATCCCAATCCTCACAGTACCTCCTCCTCCTCCCCTTCCCCCTTCTTCCCGCTGACCTTTCAGTTAGCAGCTCAGTGCTTAACTACTGCACTACCAGGGCTCCCTGATTCTCTATAATGGTTCACAAAACTCATGGAGACTATGACCTATATTTATAGTTACCCACTTATTATAACCAGAAAGGATGCAAGTGAAGAAATGCATCAGGCAAAGTCTGGGAGAGTTCCTGGCACAGGGCCTCCACTGTCCCCAGAATAGGAGAAAATATTTGGGAACCACATACCTGATAAGAGCTTAATAACCAGAATGTATAAAGGACTACAACTCAGCAACAAAATGGGCAAATGACTTGAATAGACTTATGTGCAAAGAAGATAACAAATGGCCAATAAACACATGAGAAGATGCTTCCTGTCATTAGTCATCAAGGGAATGCGAATTAAAACCACAGTGATACACCACTTCCCACTGCTAGGATGGCTATTATCAGAAAAACGAATAAGGTTGGTGAGAATGTGGAAAAATTGGAACCCTCATCCACTGCTAGTAAAATGATGCAGCAGGCTTCTCTAGAAAACAATTCGACAGTTCCTCAAAAACTTAAACATAGAATTACCATATCACCTAGCAGTTCTGCTCCTAGGTATAATACCTAAGAAACTTGAAGCAGGGACTCAAATACTCGCACACCAATGTTCACTGCAGCATTATTCACAGTAGCCGGAAGGTAGAAACAACCCAAGTGTCCATCAACAGGTGAATGGTTAAATACAATGTGGTATATCCATACAGTGGAATATTTTCCAGCCGTTAAATACGTGCTGTGCCATGGATGAACCTTGAAAATATTCTGAGTGAAGTAAGTTCAGACAAAAGGACAAGTATTGTATGATTCTATTTATATGAAATACCTAGAATAGGCAAATGTAGAGAGAGACAAATTTAGTGGTTACCAGAAGCCAGGAGGGAGGGGAATAGAAGTTGTAGCTGAAGGGGTACTGAGTTTCTGGAGTTTCTGTTTAGGGTGATGGAAAAACTTTTTAAAATGGATAGTGGTGATGGTTTCACAACATGGTGAATGTAATTAATGTCATTGAATTGTACACTTAAAAATTGATTAAAATGGCAAACTTTTTATTATATATACTTCACCACAGTTAAATTGTTTTCAAAAACCAAACCGCAAAAACAAAATAGAATTGTATGTTTGTTAGATCTTGTATTTCAGGAAATGGGTAGTGGAAATTTCAGGAAATTGGAAAAGAGAAAAAAACTACAAAAAAGAGAGGCGACTACATATGTATTTAAAATGTCTACATCACAATCTATTATATACAACTGAAATTAGTAAGAACAACTTGGATCCTCTAGTACACAGATAGCATATTTCAGACAGTTTAAAAAATATGTATTAGTTAAATTAATTAAGCCCAGTATTATCAAAACAATGCCAATTAATGCAGTTGTGTTTCTTGGCCTACCAAGTAGCCAAGATAAAAAAATACTAAATCCTGATGAGGGTGACTTCTTTTCCTTATACCAAAACTACTATATCTTGGTATAAGATTGTCATCAGTTCTGTTATTTTTCTATTTAAAGAATTTCTTTTAAAGAAAGCATTGGATAAACTGTGACTTAAAGATAATTTGGTATTACAAAATTATTTTTCCTTGTTGTTTGTATCTTTTATGTATTTCTTTAATCGTTTTTGTGTATTTAATGTCAGCTTTGGTTGTTTTGCATGTATGTGTTTACATTTGGAGTTTCTTGAGCTTAGAATCTTGTTTTGCTCTTTAAATTTTTCTCTGGGACCCCAGAACCATGTTGTGCAGGTAAATAGAAGAGATAGATACTCTCTTCTTGTTCCCAAGCCCCACATCTGTAACTCTCTAGCCAAAATGACAATTTATTTTTAAGGAAATTCTTCAGGATGCTTTAACTTCCTATCCTATAGTAGGTTTGGAAGTGGGTCATCCTTGCTGTTTTCACTGAGTCTGGTTGTAACTCTTAAGGTTTCAGACCCTGACAGGTCTGGATTTTGTATGAACAACAATGTATAAATTACATTGATCTTATTCTTGGTGTTTAGATATATCCTTCGGAGTTTGGAAAGGAGAGGATGAAGGAAGAGCAAGTTCAGGGACCAGTGGAGTTATTAAGTATTCCTGAAGATGCCCCTGAAAAGGACTGGTATTAAATCACTATAGAAAATAAAATTAAACCTCATAAATTCATGTCACTATTTCTGAATTCTGATTACTTTAATAGGGCTAAAGTTTACACTTGTGGCATTCATAGTTAAAACAAGCTGCTAAACAGTTTAAAGTCTATCCAGTGTGACACAGGACTTTAACAACATTTTGCATGTATGTTTTTATTTGTATATGTGTGAAAGTAATTACTACAGTTTTGAAAAACTTTATAATTAAACTGATTGAGAGTTTCTACAGCCTCATTACTCTGAATTAGTGAGTTTTGCTTTTTTTTCTGAGATGTTGTTTTCCATATAAGTGACATTGAAATCTCTGTTTACCTTTAAAATATAAAATTTTTCATATTTAAGGATTAAATAAAAGAATGATTAAAAAATCTTTTATCATCGTAGTGCTGTAGACAATAATTGTAAGGGATTTTCTGTATCCACTAGGTGGAGCTATATGTTTACTTACTAAAAATGGTGGTTAAACAGATTAGTGGCAAGAGAGGACAGGTATAAGGACCTTCAAAAAATATGTGGTAGTTAAATGAAATTAGATTTGACAACACATGAATTTGGAGGAAACATTTTGCAACATCAGGAATGTCTTTGTAATTAGAGCTAATGCTTTTTTAGCACAGTTTATAACACTGTCCAGTGATTCTATTTGAGAAGGCCCTATGTGGTAGCAAACAAACAAAACCAAGGTGTCCTGAGAAGTAGAATTGTAGGTAAGCTCATGCAATTCTTTTTAGATGGCCAAATTCTAACCAAAATATGTGAAGTTTATAACTTGTCAGAGTAATACATTGAGTATACATATTTAGTGTACATACAGGCAAAGTCATGAAGGAAAGATGGCTTGGAATGAAGGCCAGCTTGTATTATATTTTTATTGGAACAATTACCTTTATTTTTTAAAAGAAGATAGGTTGTTTGTCTTCTTGTATAAGTAGGCTTAATGAGTTTGTCCCCCTTTAGGGCATCTAGAGAAAAACTGAGAGATTATCAATTCAAACGACTGAAGTACTACTACGCAGTAGCAGACTGTGATTCTCCTGAAACGGCCAGTAAAATTTATGAGGATTGTGATGGCCTGGAATTTGAAAGTAGTTGTTCTTTCATAGATCTAAGGTAATCCAGTGTGTGTCTTAGCAATGTTATCTTACAGTACAACATGATTATTAGAAGTAAACTATTGGAACTGCTAGTACTCTGTTGTTTCATATTCCAAAAGAGGGTTTTTTGCTTTTGGATGAACTTAGCCCTATGGAACATCACTGCTCACAAAGGAAATGGGAATGAGAAAATGCAGAAGTATTATATAGTCACCCCCGCATTTATATCCTTTCAGACATGTCGGCTATGCGCTTAGGATGATGGATTGTATGCAGTGGTATTTCATTGCAACACTCTCTTAGAGCTAGGAACCAGGTGAAGTAACTTTTGAAAAAGCATTGTGTTGTGGGCAGAAGAGTTTGCTACTAGACTGGTGCCTCTGGGTCTGCACTGTCCTATACAGTAGGCACATCTGGCTATTTTAGTTTTATTTTATTAGAATTAAATAAAATTTAAAATTCACTTCCTTAGTTTCACTAGACACATGTTCAAGTACTCAGTGGTTCTGTGTTGGACAGAGCAGATACAGAACATTGCCATCATCACAGAAAGTTCCGTTGGAGAGCCCTTCTCTAAATGCTGCTTCAGTGAGTGAATGGGGTTGCAGCATTGTTTTCACACTTGGGCTTTATTTTCACCATGTGCTCAGGCTTCAGTAATCCAGAGCTGAAAAACTTTAGATGGTTGTGAACGTCAGTTCTAAGGAAACAGGAAGCTGAACTGTTGTACCGTTTTATCATCAGCCTAGTCCTTTTGAGCCCAGTAAACCATTCTGCTGTGACACTTGGAATAGAAACCACTTCTTTGGATTCTAGGTTTGTTAGAGGCTTTGTTCTTAAAAAGATATGTTTCAGAAAAAGATGTATTATTTCATAGTCACTGTGGTTTTTGTGTTTCAAAGACATTCAAACTGGTAGAAAAATACAAAAAATTATGGAATTGACAATCTGGGGTAAGATTTTAACACACTTAAGTATACAGCAAGAAAGACATGATCTCATCAGACAAGCTATTTCCTTCTCTCTTCTGTTAATGATTTGAATAGGAGATGCTCGTTTGGAATGTTCAGGTAGTAGTTACCAAACATTTGTGAGAAGGTCAAACTCTTTGGGTACCATAAATTCATGGTAACTTGTTCTTTTCAGAATTGTTTTGTTCTTTCCTGTTTCCTTTTTGGGACATTGCCATGCAATGTTGGGATAAGCTCTGGTTGAAGAAAGTGGCAATCAGTCACCGTGGAAAAAATATACCCTCTGGTTTTATTTTGTCATACATAACATCAGAAAAGAAAATTGAGTTTTCTGCTGCCACCCAGTTACCTAAGGAAGTCTTTTTTCATCTTCCCCAAAATATGAAAGCATGCATATTAATAGCATTTAAGATAATTGATCTCAGCTATTTATTTTTCTTCTCCTAAGTCTGTGTAAAAGTCTAGCTGAGGGAGGAGATATAGACCTAATAATTACCCATTTTCCTCAAAAAATCATTTTCAATGGAGCATACAAAATAAGCTTTTTCCTGTGGAAATAAAATCCTATATAAACTATAAAACCTAAATATAATAGCCATGGATTATTTAACTCTGCAATATCCATTCCTTAGCCTGATGTTTAAGGATTATAAAACAATTGCAATGGCTAGTACATTTCCGAGCTAGTTATTTGTGAAAAAATAAATTTTTTTGTAAGATAATAGTATTAAGTTATTTTAGCCTTGAAGAATCAACCTTAAACTTATTTTCAGTGACACTCATGTGTATGATACTCTATATCCAGAATACTTGCCCATTAATAATTCTGTTTGATCCTCAAAATATCATCTAGCCAGTCAGTGACTATGCTATCAGAAGTCTGGGTATCTTTGCAATGTGAAGGGCCCACGTGTGTTTGCGCCTGACTCCTATCAGCTAACTTCTAATCCAGGGCTCTTACTACATAGAGTCCTCTCAGATTTAGTGTAATTACTGATTTATATAGCTCATGAGTTTCAAAAATCTGGTGCCAAGGTTATTTGGAACATTGTTTACCTCTTTATTCTTTCTACATGTGTGTTCTGCAGAAGCTTTTATATGGTATGTGTGTATAAACTAGCTAATTAGAAGCGAATCTAAACTCTCATTGTTTATCACTGAAGCATATGTTTAAATAAATTTATTTTTTCTTTGCTTCTTAGGTTTATACCAGATGATATTACCTTTGATGATGAGCCCAAGGACGTAGCCTCAGAAGTGGATTTAACAGCATATAAACCAAAGTATTTCACATCTGCTGCAATGGGAACATCAACGGTACTTCTTTTAAAAACATGTAGCTGCACTTTATTGCATTAAAAAGACACTTTCCGCATTAGTTACTCATAGCATCTTTAGAAATAGAAAGTATTGAAAATTTTAATGCACAAGGACAAATACAAATGAGGCACCAGAGTATTTGCATTTTTACCTGCCACATCTGAACCTATTTTCAAGTTTGTGTTGTGCCTTCCAGTGTGAGTCACTTATTTGCTAATGTTTCTTTTTCCTATTCTGTCTTTCCCACATACTGTTATCCAACGAGGTCCTTAAATAAGTAATGTATCAATTATTGATATCCTAGGGAATAGAGGGGAGGAGGTAACATTATCTCAACTCAGTTAAAACTAGTGAAAATTTTATGTAAAACAGTAATACATTTTTCTGTAGATATCCAAAATTGTAAAAATAATAGAAGTACACTAATCTGGACTACTAGATGTCAGTTTATATATATATATATATAAAATATTTTATTGAGTGTTTGGTGAAAGTTTACATGGCAAGTTAGATTCCCAATTGACAGTTTCCACACAAATTGTTCAGTGATATTAGTTACATTTATCACAATGTGTCAGCGTTCTCTTTAATTGTGTTCTGTTTGTTCCCTTTCCAGTACTCTAGTTTCTCTGCCCCCTTATCTTCTCATCTTTGCTTTTGAGTAATTGTTGACCTTTTGGTCTCAGACTGACGGTTTTTAAGTAGAGCACCAATCTTACGGATAATATCCTTTATTTTGTGTGCCACTCTGCTGTTTCATTAAAAGATGATCTCGGGATAGACTCGGTTCTAGGTTGAGTATCTCAGGGCAATAGTCTCAGGGAGTCCTCTGTTCTCTACTGTTGGAGTTTGTCTGGCTTTTTTTGTTTTTTAAATAAGAATTTGAGTTCTGTTCCATATTTTTCTCCCATTCTATCCAGGACCACCTATTGTCTCCCCAGTCAGAACAGTCAGTGGTGATAGCTGGGCACCATCTAGTTCTTTGGGTCTCAGGGTTGATGAGGTTATGGCTTGTGTAGAATTGTTTCTTCACTGTGCTTTTGGTTACCTTCTTACTGTTTTTCTCTGGCGAGTAGAGATCGATAGTTGTGTCTTAGGTGGCCACTCGCAAGCTTTTAAGACCCCAGATGCTGCTGACTTCACTTGGATGCAGATTATGATTTTTGTAAACTCTGTTATGCCAATTAACTGAGTTGTCCCATGAGACTATGGTCCTAAGACTTCAAACCCAAAAAAAACAGTGTCGGAAGGTGTTTAATTATGTATCCGTATTTGTGTCTTCAGTGAATGTATGTGCCTGCACCCACATATTTGTCTTTGGACATACCTATAGGAGCCCTGGTGGCGCTGTGGTTAAGCGCTCGGCTACTAACCAAATGGTTGGCAGTTTGAATCCACCAGCCACTCCTTGGAAACTCTATAGGACAGTTCTACTCTGTCCTATAGGGTCACTGTGAGTTGGAATCAACTTGACAGCAGTGGAGTTGGGGTTTTTTTTTTTTTTTTTTGATAGATAACAACTAGATGTTAGTTTAATGCTTAATAACAACCAGCCGAAAGATCTGTGTCTATTGAAATAGTTTATTACTTAGCTGGCTACCTTCTGTCTTCTCTCCATATGACTTTTACCTACAGCTGGACTCTGCAGTAGCCACACAGGCTTCCCTCTACCTGTCCTATATGACAAACCACTGTGTTCTTCTCAGGACAGGCTGGTGGCAGAGAATTGATTGCAATAAATAAGGTCCAAAACATTCAGGCACATAAAATATAGGATCCTATTATTTTCAAGACTAAAAAATGACCAGGACAAGCCTCTGTAGCCAGTCATTCTGGAGTTCCTGGAGTCTGGCTGCATGATCCAGCTCTGTCCCAGTTCCAGCAGCAGTTTGGTGGCTGTTAGCTCAGGCTTAATTATCAAAACAGGGATGATTCCGAGTCCTGTGACTAGCTAGGACATCTAAAACAATGGCAGCTATTTTAAGGATCTCTTAATTGGTGCCCATTTTGTGGTTCTGATCTAGGGAGATTGGCTTGAGCAGGGGAAACAATGGACCCACCCTACAGTGAAGATGAAACCTCTAGCAGAACCCCATGTAAGCATGGTGGCTGTGTTGTGAGCAGGAGCCAGTCAACAGACCCTTCATACTGTAGGGGAATTCATGTTATCATAGGGGTTTACTCTACTTCCAACCAACAGATGATTTTCTCATCAGTGGCTGTTAATCTTTTTTGGAAAATAGACACTACTGAGATTGTGTAGAAAGCTTTCACATATTTTGTAGACCTCCTGAAATACCCAGAACTCCAGGTGGAAAATATGTTTTCACTGATTGATAATAATGTTAATTTTTTCACCAGTACATTTTCTTTTTTTTTTTTATCACAGTTGATCTGCACACTGATGAATTTGTATTCTCAATATAGTAGCCTGCATATAGCAGAGAGAGAGAAGGAGGAAGGTATAGGTTGATAGATATGTTTCTCTTTCTACAAATAAGATACTTTTGGTAGGCATGTCATTCAGATAATTATTTTAGCATGTCTTAACTTTTTTTAACTTACCATTAAACATCCAAATAACAATATATTCTTTAACAAATTTGCGTTACTGACATTTCTATTCTTATTGGTTGTTTTTTTCTTTTTCATTGGTGAAAGGTGGAGATCACTTGGGATGAGACAGATCATGAAAGAATTACAACACTTAACAGGAAATTTAAAAAGGAAGAGCTTTTGGACATGGATTTTCAAGCCTACTTAGCTTCCTCTAGTGAAGATGAAGAGAAGATAGAAGAGGAGCTACAAGGTACTTGTTAATCTTTTGGTGTTCTACATTTGTCGGCATTTAGATTGCCTAAACAAGACTTGTTAACTGAAATGTGTTTTCGGCCATATCTTAAAGGGAAGAACCAAACTCATCCTTAAACAGTCTGCAAGACGACGCACATACACAGTCTCTCGTGCACCTGTTGACAGTGATTGAATTTTTATGTGAAAGTATTTTCTTAGCCTGAATTTCTTTAACCGTAAACATTTTCTTTAAAACTCAGACCTAACAAAAAAAACTCTGGCCTTTTAGACTGTCCGGATTTGTATAGTGCACAATTTCTTAAACTACTAAAGTACTATATCCCTCCCTCCTTTTTATATTATATAAAAGACCTTGTAAGTGCTTCTTTTAAATTATTTTTTACATTTCATTTTCCCGCTCTGGTTTAGAAAATAGTAGACTCTCTTTCTATCCTTTAAGTGATTTTCCCAGAAATTGTGGCCTGCATCATTTACTTATTAAAGTCTAATGTCTAATGGCAATTAATATTTTATTCTCCTGGACAATACAAAGAATCTTATAATAACTTTCATGCTATTGTTGTGTATTATAATTCTAAGTATTTTTTTTTAATCCCACAAGATCTTAATATTACTGTTTTATCCTTCCTTGCTTATTTAAATTTACCCACACTTTACCTAGTTCCTTTGCTTTTGTTCCTTTTTAAATCTCATACTTTCTGGGATCATTTTTCTTTTGCTTTAAGTACATTGTTGAGAATTTCCTGTAGTGAGTGTCTGCAGGTGACAAACTCTCTTGAGTTTTAGTTTGTCTGAAAATACCCTTATTTTGCCTTCATTTGTGAAGCATTTTTCAACTGGTAAAGAATTGTAGACTTCTAGGTTGGCAGCTTCCCCACCCCAGCAGATTCATAATGAAATTCTTCCAGCTTCTGACTTCATTGTTTTTGAGAAGTCAGTTGTCACTCAGCCTTTTGAAAGTCATTTTTTTTTTTCCCTCTTTGAGAGCTTTTAAAGTTTTCTCTTTGTCTAAGAGTAGGTTTCTTTTTATTTATTGTGCTAGGGGTTTTTAGGCTTCTTGAATTTGTGGAGTGGTATCTCTCAACAGTTTTTCAATATTCTCAGTCATCTATTCAGATAATTGCTTCTCTCCTCTACGACACCAATTATAAATATATGTTAGATCTTTTCACTATATTTACTCTTGCTACTCTCCACTGTTTTTTGTCTATGGTTTCTCTCTGCTGCGTTCTCAATATTATCTCCTGATCTATTCTCCAGTTCGCTAATTCTCTTTTCAGCTATGTAGAATCTGCTAATAGATCTATCCATTGAGTTCTTAATTTTGGTTATTTTTCATTTCTGGAAGTGGTGTTTAGCTTTTTTTTTTTTTTTTTTTAAATTTAGATGAAGGTTTGCAGAACAAACTAGCTTCCTGTTAAACAGTACACATACTGTTTTGTGACAGTTACCAATTCCACGACATGTCAACACTCTCACTTCTTGACCTTTGGTTCCCTATTACCAGCTTTCCTGTCCCCTCCTGCCTTCTAGTCCTTGCCCCTGGACTAGTGTGCCCCTTTAGTCTCATTTTGTTTTATGGGCCTGTCTAATCTTTGACTTCATTACTGAGCTAGAAGGGTATCCGGGGACCATACTCTCGGGGTTTCTCCGGTCTCTGTCAGGCCAGTAAGTCTGGTCTTTTTTTGTGAGTTAGAATTTTGTTCTACATTTTTCTCCAGCTCTGTCTGGGAGATTGTGATCCCTGTCAGCAGTCGGTGGTGGTCACCGGGCACTATCTAGTTGTGCTGGACTCAGTCTGGTGGAGGCTGTGGTAGTTGTGGTCCATTAGTCCTTTGGACAAATCTTTTCCTTGTATCTTTAGTTTTTTTCATTCTCCCTTGCTTCCAACAGGGTGAGACCAGTGGAGTATCTTAGATGGCCACTCACAAGCTTTCAAGACCCCAGATGCTACTCACCAGAGTAGAATGTAGAACTTTTCTCTTTATCAACTATGTTATGCCATTTGAGCTAGATGTTCCTCAAGACCGTGGTCCACACAGCCCTCAGCCTAGCAGCTTGGTCCCTCAGGAAGTTTTAATGTATCTGTGGAGCTTCCATGACCTTGCCTCTGACAAGTTGTGCTAGCTTTCCCAGTATCGTGTACTGTCTTACCCTTCACCAAAGTTACCACTTATCTATTGTCTATTTAGTGTTTTTCCAACCCCACCTCTCCCCTCCCTCTTAACTGTCAAAGATTCTTTCATTTTGTGGGTAAACGTTTTCATGAATTTTTATAGTAGTTGTCTCATACAATATTTGTTCTTTTGTGATTGACTTACTTCACACAGCATAATACCCTCCAGATTCATCCATGTTGTGAGATGTTTTGCGAATTCATCATTGTTCTTTTTCGTTGTGTAGTATTCCATTGTGTGTATGTACCATAGTTTGTTTATCCATTCATCTGTTGATGGGCATCTAGGTTGTTTCCACCTTTTTAATGTGGTGGACAATGTTGCAGTGAACATGGATGTGCATGTATGACGCCTCTTATTTCTCTGGGGTATATTCCTAGGACTGTGATTGCTGAATCATATGGTATTTCTATCTATAGCTTTCTAAGGAAGCACCACATCATTTTCCAAAATGGTTATATCATTTTGCATTCCACCAGCAGTGCATAAGAGTTCCAGTTTCCCCATAGCCACTCCAACATTTGTTATTTCCTGTTTTTTTGATTCATGCCAGTAATGCCGGGGTGAGATGGTATTTCATTGTGGTTTTGATTTGCATTTCTCTAATGGCTAGTGATCGGGAACATTTCCTCATGTGTCTGTTAGCCATTTGAATGTCTTCTTTGGTGAAGTGTCTGTTCATTTCTTTTGCCCATTTTTTAATTGGATTATTTGTCTTTTTGTTGTAGAGGTGTTGGATTTTCCTGTAGATTATTAGACCTTTGTCGGATTTGTCATAGCCAAAAATTTTTTTCCCAGTCCGTAGGTTCTCTTTTTACTCTTTTGGTAAAGTCTTCTGATGAGCATAAGTGTTTAATTTTTAGAAGATCCCAGTTATCTAGGTTATCTTCTGGAGTTTGTGTGGTGTTAGTTGTGGTTTGTATCCTGCTAATGCCGTGTATTAGGGCCTCTAGCACTGTTTAGCTATTTTTGAAATCAAATATATCATTTTTTATTGTTCTCTAGTCAGTGCTGTATTCCTAAGACTTTTTTTATTTGTAGCAACAGAGTTAGCATAGCTTTTTATAATCTGTTGATAATTTTAATATTTCAGCTCTCTCTGGGTTGGTTTCTGTTATTTTTTTCAAGTTATTTCTTTGTTGTTTACTTATGTACCTGGTTAACTTTGACCGTGTGTGTGTTGGTCATTTATGTTGAAAAATTATTTCTAAGTACTTTGGTAGCTGAGATGATAATACCTTTCATCAGAGATAGCTTTCGTTTACTTTGGTCATTTCTGTTGTTGTTGTCGTGTGCTGTCGAGTCAGTTTCCACTCATAGCAACAGTGCGGAAGACAGAACTGCCCCATAGTGTTTCCAAGGAGCGGCTGGTGGATTCAAACTGCCGATCTTTTGGTTAGCAGCCTGAGCTCTTAATGACTTTGCCACCAGGGTTCCTTGGTCATTTCTAGGACCATCTTATTCCAAGTTTAAGGCTTAAAGTCGGCACTAAACCTCTTTCTTGTAATTCTGCACGATTATGATCTTTTCTGTTAGATAAGAAGAATGAAATGTGAAGATATCAAGCTCTGTGAGTGATGCAGGTTGGTTTGAGGGCAGCTTTCCTTCTGGTTTGTCCTTGTCCTGAGTATATCCTGTATAGGTCCCTGCTTAATGTGGGATACTCGTTGAAGTCCCCTCCTTCTGTGGGCCTGTAACTTCTGTCCTCTTGGCCCTGGGAATCTGTCAGAACTGCAGTTGAATTTCACAGCCGTTCCCTCTGTATCAGGAAGTGCCCTCAGGGAAAAGAGGCCTCAAATGCTGGGATCATCTCTCTGATTTGACCTGGTAACCATTCCTAACTTGTCAGTTTTTTGAAGGTGTTCTTTTCTTTTTTTAACCTCTTGAAAGCTTTTAAAAAGATTTTTAAAATATTTTATCCAACTGAATTTCTTCAGTTAAAGGGTTGGTCTGGATTACCTAGCATGCCGTTAATAAGATCTCAAATTATCTTTATTTAAAAAAATTTTTTTGGTGGTTGGAGTAATTAATGATGTATCTTAAAATTATGTGTGCTGTTTATTTAAAATAACTCAATTTAAAAAAAGCCAAAACAAAACCCTTTTTCCCTGTATCGGACTGTCTCTGGAAAGTTGGTTAGTTGATTGTAAGTTCATGTCAACTTTTGGTCGATATCATCTGCCCAATAGAGTGACATCTTTTTTCTTTTTATCTAATAGAAAAAATACCAATCATGCAAAATTATCAGAGGTTTAGTGCCGACATCAAGTAAAGAATCATAATTTTTAAACAAAGATACAAGTATTTAAAATTGGCAGGAATTGATACCTTTTTTAAGTTATAGCTTAAAAAATTTTATAGCTATTTGGTTTTACTTTTGCATGTGTATTGTTTTTAAAGCCTATGTGGCAAATTTAATCATAAAATGCTTCTTTAATATTATCATAGGATTATTAAACCTTGACTTTCTTAGACTATATGATTCACCTATCACTGTTTCTTTTAAGCTACTGAATATATGGCTTCATTTTCCTAAGTTTTTCGTAAAACACTGCTCTTGAACCATGTTCCACACATGGGATGGAAAATCGTGTTTAATCATTCTGCTTTCTTTGTTTAGCCTTCTTACATTTATAAAACCACGTAATTGCTTAAGTATTTAAGAGTCTTTGAAAAAGTGTGTGATTTGCTATGGTAGTTATGTTGGGCACAAAAGCTTCCCATTTTCTTAAGGCCTCGGTGGCTGTTGCTTGTTAAATTTTTTGACGTTATAAACAGTTGGGTGACCATTTTATTTCTCAGCATACACACAACAGCAAGTTCTTTTTCAAATAGACTTTATGTCCTTTTCCTCCATAAATGTGGAGAAAGATATACTAGTTTTTTATCTACATTTTCTTTTTATTCAGATGCTTATGTAGTTATCTAGCACTTTCATGAAAATTCTGTATAGTTTTCTTTCACTAACAGCTGTAAGATGAAGGCAGAAAGGATAATGTTCTATTCACACTTGTAAAGATTGGGTCCAAGTTTTGCAAATAGGTTGCTTTGATTGGTTTGGGAGATCTGAGCTAGATTTAAAGATAACATTATTAACATTAAGGTGGCTAATATGAGCAAGTAAGCATTTATTTGTCAGTATGTTCTTGTTAAGTGCTTGGGCTCTGCTGGTTTCAAATCCTCACTTATGAGTAGGAAGATTGAGATAATGTACGTAAAGTGCTTAGCATACTACCTCTTTTCATATATTGTTTTTTTATTTCTTAGTAACTTATAAGGATTAATGGCTTTTTGTTTGGAATATGTTGTTGTTAGTTGCCATTGAGTCTGTTCCAGCTCATGGCAACCTTATTTATAACAGAAGGAATGGTTGCCTGGTCCTGTACCATCTTCATGATTGTTCATATGTTGGAGTCCATTGTTGACACTGTTGTGTCAGTCTATCTCATTGAGGGTTTCCCTTGTTTTCACGGCCTTCGTGGATAAGAATCTCGACTTTAGCAACATGCTGTCTTTTTCTAGCAATTGCTCTTTGCTGATGACATATCCAAAGTAAGCAAGCCAAAGTCTCATCATGCCTCCTTCTAAGGAGCATTCTCGTTATATATCTTGTAAGACTGATTTGTTTGAATTATACTACTCAAGTTTTTGAAAGCATACATTTTTCTTCAATATTTTAATTGATTATAGGCTAACAATCTGTAATTTAGTACCTCTGGTGGATGCATTTAGTACCTCTGATGGATACATTTAGTACCTCTGATGGATGCATTAGTATGTTTGAACGTCTTAGAGTTAGTAGGTGTTCTTGGTGGTAGTTGTAAACATAGCAAGGCTTCTTCTTAGTATTATATTTTTTTCACTCCTTATGTAGTATTAATGCTTTCACAAAGTACTGTCCTTAAATTGGGGAAAAAAAACAGACCTACATGAGTTATCCCACATTTTAGAGCTTCAGAAAGTAAAATTTTAGTACTGGAAAAAATCAATTTAAAATAGGCCATCAGAGACCTACCACTAAAATTTCAACCTGGAAGGAGCTTGCTTCTAATTATGTTTTCAGAAGTAAGCTTTTAATAGATAGAAATACATTGCCATTTTGTTAATTTGTTCCTGATGTTTTATCCATTGAATTATGGGATACATGACAGAATTCTATCCAACATTATTATTGTGGCACAAAGCAAAACAGAAAAAAAATGAATTTCAGCTGTTTGAGTGAAAATGTAAAAGAGCGATAGGATGGAAAGAATGTCCTGGACCGTTTTTTATTCATTTAGAAAAAAAAGTATATAAGAATATATATTTAATCATTTTTTCCCATATTACCTTTTAAAAGATATAAAGGCAATCTGTTAACATTGATGTTTCATAACTAACTGCTTAATAATATCAGACATTTTTAGTGACCAGTAGCCATAGCTCATAGAAGAGAGGGTCTTCATTACGCTACTTCTAAATTTTCTCTTACTGGGGACGTTTAGTCAATTCAGTAAGTCTTTATGTTTTGCATTAAAACTGAGGTTCTTAATTTATGTTTTTGACTTACAGTGGAAACGTAGAGCAAACAAACTTATCATGTATTGGCTTTCTTTGGTATCTGTTGCCCATGAATTTTATACTGTGCCTTTGTGTTCTAATTATTTTTATAAAATTAGGAAATGAAAAGTGATTATTTGTCCACACATGCAAATTAACTATATTAACTCTTAATTTATTCATTTTTATTTTTAACATATTAACAAGACCCCGAGAGTAAGCATGCTTGCTCATCATCGAATGGAAAGGACTCAGGATTCTTAGGTTTGGATTATAAGCAAGTTCCTTTGTCTCTCTCTTCAGTCTGAACAGCTAAATCCACGTACCAGATTCATCCCACGATATTCAGCCTCCTTTTATTGAACATAACATTTTAAAGCCCCTGTGCACTGGATGGTGGGAGGGAATAAAGAGGGATAAATGCCGTCCCTGCTTTCATGGAGCTTGGTAAGGAGAAGAAGTTTCAGGGTGTTAGGACTCCAAAATATTTTGAAATGCGAATTTTAATAAAAGGGGGGTTCCCAGGCATACTACTATGACATTACTAGCTTATATTGTCCACTGAGTTTTATTATAAACAAGACCTAAGTCTTTCACTTAAATCATTTACTCTTAAGAAGTTTGTCTGATCTAAATATTTTATTGCTTCAGTATATCTAAAAACATCTTTTAGATGGGTGCTGGAGTGACCGTGAGATCCAAAGACTAGTTAGAAGTGAATTAATTCTGTATATTAAATAGAATTGCTTTTTTGTTGTTTTTAGGTGACGATGGAATCAATGCAGAAGAAGATGGGAAAACAAAGAAAAGTCAGAAGGATGACGAAGAACAAATTGCAAAATATAGGCAGCTCTTGCAAGTTATTCAAGAAAAAGAAAAGAAAGGCAAAGAAAATGATATGGAAATGGAAATTAAGTGGGTTCCAGGTAAGAATTAAAAACTAAATACCTACAAGTTTTTCTTTGTTTTAGGATGTTGACTGCATTTTATGAGGGAGAAGAGGATTAACTTTTCTTTGGAAACAAATTTTAAAAACTTTATTTTCTAGAAATATTTTTTTGAGTACAATGGTATATTAGCATAAACCATTTAAAACTCTCTCAGAGACTGATATTTTAGACTCTTGCCAGTTTGTTCTTGATTGATTTCTTTGATTTGCTAACTGCGTTTTATTCCTGTCCATTTGTGAAAGTAGGTCTTTCCTAGGTTTGATTCCAGTATTTTCAGGGTGTAGAAACTTGAATCCAGGCACTGTGTACTGTAAAGTCATTAAACTTATTTTCAAAATATATAATTCGTAAGGGGCCTTCTCTACTATAACCTCTACTAGTCCTTAGTGAGGTCTCACTAACACAAAATATGTAATACATAGTTCTCTATCTCAATTTTACTGTGAATACTCAAAGGTAGCATAGTAAATGATTTTTATAACTGCCTTGCAAGGTTTAACATTTTTTGAGGACATGTCAAAGCTAAACAAAGCTAAAAGGCTAAACAGTGATTGTTCTCTAAGATACACATTTTTCAACAGTCCAGGGACAGTCAGCATATGTTTTTGCAAGTATTACTGTTTTTGCAAATTACTACTGTTTATAAATATGTGTATATTTTAAACAGCCAGGTGTAATTTTTATGACAAAGATTCAGTTCTGTAGTCTTGATCAGTCTCTAAAAGAAAGACTACTAACCACTTGTAGGAATACAGTTGCTTCAAAGTTAAAAATATTCTATATTCACTTATTTCTGCTTTTTACAACTTTTTAATTTTTTGCAGTAGAAGTATAACATTTATTTGCATAGGTTGTTTTTACTTGGGGGAAAAAACTTGCATATTTTGATTTATGACATTTGATTGATTGCTAGAATGAACACCTGTTTCTTGCATCTTTCTGTGGGGATGTGGTGCTATGTTGTAACCCATTTATTTTAAATGACTTTTGCAGGAAGTAGTTGATAAGAAAAAATAACGTTTAGTAGTGCATCATGTGACGAGTGACTAGGGGAACTCAGATTTAGCCTGAGGAGGAAATTGTTTTCAAGTGCTTGCAGGACTGATACATAAAACAAGACTTAATCATCTTTATTACTTCAGAGGTCAGCACTACTGTCAGTGGATAAAAGTTCAAGGAAGATAGATTTCAATGTTCTATAGAGAGAAATTCTCTGTTTTGTTAGAATTCTCTCTATTCTGAAAGAATACCGGTACGTACGCTGCTTTAAAGGTTTGCGCTCCTTTTCTCAGTAAGTATCCAAAATAAGGCTAGATAACCATACCACTTAGGGATGCTTGTGGAAAAGTTTCTTACTTGAAGTTCATGACTATGATTCTAAGATATATTGGATTTATCTTTCAAGCCAAATATGTTGTAGTTTAATTCTAAGAATGAACTTACTGGATGAATATATTTTAATATGAACATAGCTTAAGTTGAGGTGTTCATCTGGGTATTTGAGAAAGCAGATTTAAAATAAACTTGGTAGAGAAGCTTTATAGCATATATTTCAGAGATATATATATGCCACGTGTTGTTGTTATTGTTAGGTGCCATCGAGTTGATTCTGACTCATAGCGACCTTATGCACAACAGAACGAAACACTGCCTGGTCCTGCACCATCCTCACAGTTGTTGGTATGCTTAAGCCCATTGTTGCAGCCACTGTGTCAGTCCATCTCATTGAGGGTCTTCCTCTTTTTTGCTCACCCTCTGCTTTACTAAGCATGATGTCCTTCTCCAGGGGCTTACCTTCCTGATAACACGTCCAAAGTATGGGAGACATAGTCGTAGTCTCGCCATCCTTGCTTGTAAGGAGCATTCTGGTTGTACTTCTTCCAAGACAGATTTGTTCTTTCTTTTGGCAGTTCATGGTATATTCAGTATTCTTCACCAGTACCACAATTCAGAGGCGTCAGTTCTTAAGTCTTTCTTATTCATTGTCCAGCTTTGGCATGCATGTGGGGTGATTGAAAACACCATGGCTTGGGTCAGGCACACCTTATTCCTCAAGGTGACATCTTTGCTTTTCAACACTTTGAAGAAGTCTTTTGCAGCCGATTTGCCCAATGCAACGTGTCTTGATTTCTTGACTGCTTCCATGGATGTCGATTATGGATCCAAGTAAAATGAAATCCTTGGTAACCTCAGTCTTTTCTCTGTTTATCGTGATGTTGCTTATTGGTCAGTTGTGAAAATATTTTTTTTCTCTATGTTGAAGTGTAATCCTTACTGAAGGTGGTGGTCTTTGATCTTCATCAGTAAGTGCTTCAAGTCGTGTTCACTTTAGCAAGCAAGGTTGTGTCATTTGTATAACGCAGGTTGTTAATGAGTCTTCCTCCAATTCTGATGCCCCATTCTTCTTCATATAGTCCAGCTTCTCAGATTATATTATTTTCTCAGCGTACAGATTGAGTAGTTGCGGTGAAAGGATACAACCGTGACGCACACCTTGCCTGACTTTAAACCATGCAGTATCCCCTTGTTCTGTTCTAATGACTGCCTCTTGGTCTGTGCACAGGTTCTGCATGAGCACAATTAAGTGTCCTGGAATTCCCATTCTTCCCAATGTTATCCGTAATTTGTTATGATCCACACAGTCAAATGCCTTAGCATAGTCAGTAAAACACAGGTAGACATCTTTCTGGTATTCCCTGCTTTCAACCAGGATCCATCTGACATCAGCAGTGATATCCCTCGTTCCATGTCCTCTTCTGAATCCGGCTTGAATTTCTGGCAGTTCCCTGTCCATGCAACGCTGCAGCCTCTTTTGAATGATCTGCAGCAAAATTTTGCTTGCATGTGATACTCATGACATTGTTCGATAATTTCCGCATTCGGTTGGATCACCTTTCTTGGGAATAGCCATCAATATGGATCTCTTCCGGTCGATTGGTCAGGTAGCTGTCTTCCAAATTTCTTGGCATAGGCGAGTAAGTACTTCCAGCGCTGCATCCATTTGTTGAAACATCTCAGTTGGTATTCCATCAGTTCCCGGAGCCTTGTTTTTCGCCAATGCCTTCAGTGCAACTTGGACTTCTTCCTTCAGTACCAATGGTTCCTGATTATATGCTACCTCTTGAAATGGTTGAAAGTTGACCAATTCTTTTTGGTATAGGGATTCTGTATGTTCCTTCCGTCTTCTTTTGATGCTTCCTGCTTTGTTTAGTATTTTCCCTCATAGAATTCTTTAGTGTTGCAACTTGAGGCTTGAATTTTTTCTTCAGTTCTTTCAACTTGAGAAATACTGAGCGTGTTCTTCCCATTTGGTGTTCTATCTCCACCTCTTTGCACATGTCATCATACTTGGTCTTCCTGAGCCACCCTTTGAAATCTTCTGTTTGGCTCTTTTTTTCCTTTTGCTTTAGCTACTTGACATTCAAGAGCAAGTTTCAGAGTCTCTTCTGACATCCATTGAGGTCTTTTCTTTCTCTCCTGTCTTTTTAATGGGCTATTGCTTTCTTCATGCATGATGTCCTTGATGTCATTCCACAATTCGTCTGGTCTTCAGTCATTAGTGTTCAGCTCGTCAAATCTATTCTTGAGATGGTCTCTAGATTCAGGTGGGTTATACTCAAGGTCATACTTTGGCTCTCATGGACTTGTTCCAATTTTCTTCAGTTTCAACATGAACTTGCATATGAGCAATTGATCTGTTCCACATTTGGCCACTGGCCTTGTTCTGACTGATGATATTGAGCTTTTCCATAGTCTCTTTCCACAGATGTAGTCGATTTGATTCCTGTGTATTGCATCTGGCGAGGTCTACGTGTATAGTCACCACTTATGTTGGTGAAAAAAGGTGTTTGCAGTGAGGAAGTTGTTGGTTTGAAAAATTCAATCACATGATCTCTGACATTGTTTCTATAACCAAGGCCATATTTTCCAACTACCAATCCTTCTTCGTTTCCAACTTTTGCATTCCAATCACCAGTAATTATCAGTGCATCCTGATAGCATGTTTGATAAATTTCAGACTGCAGAAGTTGGTAAAAATCTTCCATTTCTTCATCTTTGGCCTTAGTGGTTGGTGCATAAATTTGAATAATACTCTTATTAACTGGTCTTCCTTGTAGGCGTATGGGTATTATCCTATCACTGACAGCGTTGTACTTCAGGATAGATCTTGAAATGTTCTTTTTGACAATGAATATAATGCCATTCCTTTTCAAGGTGTCATTCCTAACATAGTAGACCATATGATTGTCTGATTCAAAATGACCAATACCAGTCCATTTCAGCTGACTAATGCTTAGGATATTGATCTTTATGCGTTCCATTTCATTTTTGACGATTTCCAATTTTCCTAGATTCATACTTTGTACATTCCACGTTCCGATTCTTAATGGATGTTTGCAGCTCTTTCTTCTCATTTTGAGTTGCGCCACGTCAGCAAATGAAGGTCCTGAAGCATGACTCCATCCACGTCATTAAGGTTGACTTTACTTTGAGGAGGCAGCTCTTCCCCAGTTGTATTTTGAATGCCTTCCAACCTGAGGGGCTCGTCTTACGGCACTATATCAAACAATGTTCTACTGCTATTCATAAGGTTTTCACTGGCTAATTCTTTTCAGAAGTAGACCACCAGGTCCTTCTTCCTAGTCTGTCTTAGTCTGGAAGCTCAGCTGAAACGTGTCTGCCTTGGGTGACCCTAAGTGTCCACGTGTCCACAAGTGTATAGGACAGATACATGAGGATAGTTTACTATATCAGGCGGACCAGATCTAGCTTCTGTCTTTATTGATATAGTTTTGTAGGGCAAATACCGAAAAGTGATACTTGCTCTTCTGTCTGTAAGTGGAATATCTCAACATTACATTTTTCCTGGGTGAAAGTCCACTTGGTTAAGGTATATTATCATTTTTATATATTCCTGGACTTGATTTGCTAATATTTTGTTAAGGATTCTTTCACTTCTATTAATGAGGAATATT